ATTCTCCAGAAGAGATCCCATACTAGGTCACAAATCAGGCCTCAAAAAGCACAAAAAGACAGAGATCATACCATACATATTCTCTGACCATGACGCTATGAAACTTGAAGTCAACCACAAGAAAAAATTTAGAAAGACCAAAAATACATGGAGCTAAACAACACGCTACTAAAGAATGAATGGGTCAAACAGGAAATCAGAGAATAAAAGAATACATAGAAACAAATGAAAATAGAAACACAATGGTCCAAAACCTTTAGGACGGAGCAAAAGGAGTCATAAGAGGGAAGTATACAGCAATACAGACCTATCTCAAGAAGCAAGAAAAAACTCAAACAACCAACCTCATACCTAAAGGAACAAGGACAAGAACAATGAAGCCCAAAGCCAGCAGAAGAAGGGAAGTAATAAAGATTATAGCAGAAATAAATGATACAGAAACTAAAAACCCAGCAGAACAGATGAAACCAGGAGCAGATTCTGTGGAAAAAAATTAACAAAATTGAAAAACTCCTAGCCAGATGTATCAAACAGAAAAGAGAAAGAACCAAAATAAATGAAAACACAAATGAGAGAGGAGAAATAACCAACACCACAGAAATGCAAACAATTATAAGAAAAAAACTATGAAAAATTATATGCCAACAAATTGAAAGACTGGAATAGAAAAATTTCCAGAAACATATATACTACCAAAACTGAAACAAGAAATAGAAAACTTGAACACACTGATTCAAAGAAATTGAATCAGTAATCAAAAATCTCTCATAAACAAAAGTTCTGGGCCAGATAACTTCCCAGGGGAATTCTACCAAACACTGAAAGAGCTTACACCTATTATTCTCAAACTATTTCAAAAAAATAGAAATGGAATGAAAACTTCTAAATTCATTTTATGAGGCCAGCAGTTCCGATTCCAAAACCAAAGACTCCACTAAAAAAGAGAACTAAAGGGCACCTGGGTGGCTACCAGTCAGTTGAGCATCCAACTTCGGCTCAGGTCATGATCTCACTGCTCATGAGTTTGCGCCCTGCATTAGGCTCTGTGCTGACAGCTCAGAGCCTGGAGCCTGCTTCAGATTCTGTGTCTCCCTCTCTCTCTGCCCCTCTCATGCTCATGCTCTGTCTCTCTCTGTTTCTCATAATAAATAAATGTTAAAAAAACATTTTTTAATTAAAAAATCTAAAAAAAGAGAACTAAGCGCCAATATCCCTCATGAACATGGATGCAAAACTTCTCAACAAAATTGTAGCAAATCAAATCCAACAATACATTAAAAGAATCACTCACCAAGACCAAGTGGGAATTACTCCTGGGCTGCAAGGGTGGTTGCAAATCAATTAAGGTGCTACACCACATTAATACAAGAAAGCAGAAGAACCATATGATCCTTTCAATACATGCAGAAAAAGCATTTGACAAAGTACAACATCCATTCATGATAAAAAAAAAAAAAAATCCTCAAAAAACTATAGAGGACAGACGAAACATACCTCTACATCACAAAAGTCATATACAAAAAACACACAGCTAATACCATCCTCAATGGGGAAAAACTGAGAGCTTTTCCTCTCTAGTCAGGACCAGGTCAGAGATTTCCAGTCTCACCACTGTTATTTAACATAGCACTGGAAGCCCTGGCCTCAACAATCAGGCAACAAAAAGAAATCAAAGGCATCCAAATAGGCAAAGAGGTTAAACTTTCACTATTTGTAGATAACGTGATCTTCCATCCAGAAAACCCAGAAGATTCCACCAAAAAATTGCTAGAACTGATATACAAATTCAGTAAAGTTACAGGATACAAAATCAACATGAATCTGTTGCATTTCTATACACACCAAAAAATCATATGATACCTAGGAATAAACCTAACCAAATAGGTAAAAAATCTGTACTCTGAAAATTATAAAACACTGATGAAAGAGGGTCACCTGGGTGGCTCAGTCAGTTAAATGTCCAACTTCAGCTCAGGTCATGATCTCTTGGTCCGCAAGTTCGATCCCTGCATCAGGCTCTGTGCGGACAGCTCAGAGCCTGGAGCCTGCTTCAGATTCTGTGTCTCCCTCTCTCTCTGCCCCTCCCCCACTCACACTACTGTCTCTCTTTCTCAAAAATAAATAAACATTAAAAAAAATACTGATAAAAAAACTGAAGACAACACAAAGATATGGAAAAACATGCCATGCTTCTTGATTAGAAGAGCAAATACTGTTAAAATGTCAATACTATCCAAAGCAATCTACGCATTTAATGCAATCTCTATCAGGGGCGCCTGGGTGGCTTAGTCAGTTAAGCGTCCAACTTTCACTTGGGTCATGATCTCGCGGTTCGTGGGTTCGAGCCCCGCATCAGGCTCTGTGCTGACTGCCAGCTCAGAGCCTGGAGCCTGTTTCAGAGTCTGTGATTCCCTCTCTCTCTGACCCTTCCCTGCTCACGCTGTCTCTCTCTCTCTCCTAGAAATAAATAGAACATTAAAAAAAAAAAAATTTAATGCAATCTCTATCAAAATATACCAGCATTTCTCAAAGAGCTAGAACAAGCAAGCCTAAAATTTGTATGAAACCAGAAAAGACCCCAAACAGCCAAAGCAATATTGAAAAAGAAAGCAACACTGAAGTATCAGAATTCCAGACTTCAAGTTATATTACAAAGCTGTAGTCATCAAGACAGTATGGTACTGGCACAAAAACACACACACAGGTAACCCAGAAATAGACCCACAAATATGTGGCCAACTAATCTTTGACAAAGCATGAAAGAATATCCAATAGAAAAAAGACAGCCTCTTTGGGGTGCCAGGGTGGCTCAGTTGGTTAAGCATCTGACTTCACCTCAGTTCATGATCTCATGGATCATGAGTTCGAGTTCCACATCGGGCTCTATGCCGACAGCTCACAGCCTGGAGCCTGCTTCGGACTCTGTGTCTCCCTCTCACTCTGCTCCTCCCCAACTCATGCTGTCTCTCTCCCCATGTCTCAAAAATAAATAAATGTTAAAAAAAAATTTTTTTAAAAAGCCTCTTTAACAAATGGTGTTGGGAAAACTGGACAGCGACATGCAGAAGAATGAAACTAGACGACTTTCTTACACTATACACAAAAATAAATAAATTCAAAATGGATGAAAGGAAACCACCAAAATCCTAGAGGAGAACACAGGTTGCAACCTCTGTGACCTCAACAATAGAAACTTCTTACTAGGCACATCTCCTGAGACAAGAGAAGCAAAAGAAAAATTAACTACTGGGACTTCATCAAGATAAAAAGCTTCTAGGGGCGCCTGGGTGGTTCAGTTGGCTAAGCATCTAGCTACTGATTTTGGCTCAGGTCATGACCTTGGGGTCATGGGATTGAGCCCCATGGTGAGCTCTATGCTCACAGGGCAGAGACCGCTTGTGATTCTCTCTCCCTCTCTCTGCTCCTCCTCCCCTTATGCTCTCTCTCTCTCTCAAAAAAATAAACATTTTTTAAAAAGCTTCTTCATAGCAAAGGAAACAATAAAACTAAAAGGCAACCTTCAGAATGGGAGAAGATATTTGTAAATGACATATTTGATAAAGGTTTAGTTCCCAAGATCTATAAAGAACTTATCAAACTAAACACCCAAAACAAAAAATAATCCAACGAAGAAGTGGGCAGAAGACATGAGTAGTCATTTTCCCAAAGACGTACAGATGGCTAACATACATGAAAAGATGTTCAACATCACTCATCATCAGGGAAATACAAATCAAAACTGAATGAGATGATCACTTCACACCTGTCAGAATGGCTACAATTAACAACACAGGAAACAACAGATGTTGGTGAGGATGTGGAGATAGGGGAACCCTCTTACACTGTTGGTGGGAATACAAACTGCTACAGTCACTGTGGAAAAGAGTATGGAGGCTCCTCAAAAAGTTAATAACTACCCTAAATTCCAGCAATTTCACTACTAGGAATCTACCCAAAGTATTCAAAAATACTAAATACATGCACCCTGATGCTTACAGCAACCTTATCGACAATAGCCAAATCATAGAAAGAGCCCAAATGTCGATCAACTAATAAGTGATAAGGAAGATATGGTATCTATACACAATGGAATATTACTCAGCCATCAAAAAGAATGAAATCTTGCCATTTGCAACAACACAGATGGAGCTAGAGAGTATTATGCTAAGTGAAATAAGTCAGTCAGAGAAGGACAAATATCATATAATTCCACTTGTATGCAGAATTTAGGAAACAAATCAAATGAACCAGGAGGAAAAAAGGGAGACAAAGCAAGAAATAGACTCTTAACTTTTGTGAACAAACTGAGGGTTACTAGACGGGAGGTGGGTTGGAGTGAGGAGGTGAAGGGGGATGGGTTAAACAGATGATGGGTATTAAGGAGTGTACTTGTAATGAACACAAGGTGTTGTATGTGAGTGAAGAATCACTAAATTCTATACCTGAAACTAACATTATACTGTATGTTAACTGGAATTTCAACAAAAACTTGGAAAGAAAAAAAAATGAAGATCCCATCCCCATTTTCAAGGAAAGATGACAGTTATCTTTTTATGATATATGGTTCCCAAATACTGCTCTGCAAGCAAATGCCAGAATTTGGGACAAGTTTTTACTACTATGTTGAAAACCTGGAAAAGACAGGCCATGTAGTACATTTTTATAAGTCCAAATAGATTTCATTTAAAAAACTGTTCTAAGATTACATCCTTAATACTGCCAAATGCTCTATTGCTCAATAGCAATAGCATTGCTATTACAATGATAGCAAATGGTTGTATGTTTGTTTTACTATGCTTAGTTATGAGAATAAAAAGTCAGTAACACTATTTAAAGAAAAAAGAAATATGCATCTGGAGTTTCTCCATGACTTTTCAAGGCTTAATAACACATGCCTTTTTACCTCTGAATATCATGTTATTGCCGGGGTGTATGAAAGATTTTTTTAAAATCAGTGTCCATCTACATATAAAACATTCACACACATGGAAATCCCTTACTTCTTCAACCTGAAGTATGCTGATGCTCTGTTTGTTGGCAACACGGGATTATACGGATCAGCATCCATGCCTCTGGTGTAGCATTCAATTGCTTCATCATATTTTCCTTGTTTGAAGTATTTATTGCCCTGAAAAAGCATGAGAGTCAGATACGTATTGGCACAGAATTCCAGAGCCGTTTGTTTTCAATATGATGCATCTCTTTCTAACACATTTGCTCTATAATCAAGGTTAACAGTAAAGAAAAGAGAATTAAGCAAAATGGTCTTTCAACAAATGCTGACATTCACTATATAGTCATTGGATAGGCGCAATCCAAAAGCCCTGATAGAAAAATGAGTAACACACCTAGCATTATATACTTTTTACTGATAACCCACAGAAATGTAACAAAATAAGGCAGCAGGATGAGGTTTAATCTGAAAAGATAGCCTGTGATATGGAGTAGAATTTAATACTCATGTCACACTGATTTTAAGTTACTTTTGTCTACTATAAAAAACTCTAAAACGACTCTCTGTAGAGTCCATGCACTTTACGTATAATAATTCATTTAATATTCATAACAACCCACTGAGATTTACTAATAATAGTAATCTTATTTTTACAGTTAAGAAAACTGAGGTACAGGCAATTTAAAGAACTTGTCTCAGGATCTCAACCCATGTAATCTGATTTCAGAGCAGACACTCCTAATCGACAAGCTCTACTGTCTCTTGATATGGGTACAGCCAATAAAAATTTAAATCTGAACACCCCCCAAACTACGTTGAAGAAATACTGGGAGCCACGTGATTTTCGGCACATCCTGCTTACATGAAGGAAACTAACGCTAACCTAAAGAATACCTTTTCTTTTAGAGTAAGAGCCTTTTGTGAATCTACATGAATCCCATCTTCTTCTGACTCTGATTCTTGAGACACAGAATCATGGGTACTCTCTTCTTTATCAAGCTCATCAAGAATACTGTCCTGAAATTATAAGCAGGAAAACAGTGCTCATAATTACATGACCATTAAAATAAAGAAGACATTTTTTTTTTAAAAAGTACACTTAATAGAACTTGGATCGTCATCACCCAGGGTAAACTGGGTGAAGAGTACACTGGACCTCTACATACTAGTCTTGCAAAAAGAGAAAAAAGAAAGAAGAAATAGGAAAAAAAGAAAAGAATACTGGCTGTTTTAGCTGCTATTCACTGAAAGAGGGCAGCAGGAGAAAAAAATAATGTAGCAAATTAAAGAGCACTATAAATAAATTGGTCTTCACATAAAACAATCCAAAGGACAAAAACACAGGCATAAAAACCTTTCATTATTTTTCATTTAACCCATGACTCTTAACTAATTCCAAGATAATTTTATTCAAATTTTATTCAAATACTAAGAAGCACAAATACTAAGAAGTACTAACTTACCACATCAAGTTTTGCCCATGCTTCATAATCATAAGATTTTATCCTGTTTTTTGTGTTTTCCTCTTTGGTTTTTTTAGATGACTCTTTAGGTTTGCCTTTCTTCTTTTTCCTAAAATTCCCATTTCGAATAGGAGGTAAATTCTAGGGACGAGAGAAAACACACACACACACACACACACACACACACACAATGTTTAAGCACTGCTGTATTATTACTTTTTTGTATAACTAGCAATGTTTAAAATTCTCACTAAACTATATCTTCAAGTAGGAAGTACTTTTTATTTTTTAAGTACTTAAAGATATTAATTTACTATCTTCACTAATAATTCATGCTGGAATGTTCAATTCATTCTCTCCCAAATGTTGAACACTGTTTAGTCACAAGTATTCTCTAGGAAGTTTCACTATACATTTAATCTGCAATCCTAAATGCACTTCCAAACCTGCCTGATCTTCAGTCTCACTACAATGAATTAGCAGAACTGCAACAGCAAACTGAACTGCCTCCCCATTAGTATGACAGTAACCCATATTTAAATCCACAGTCTTAAGAAAAACATTTGACTGTACTATCTACAGTTTATGCTAATACTGTATGTTAATATATCATTAAATATATAATTATATATGATTATATAATATACACAAACACCAAAATATTGTATGATGTTATTTATTTACCTTAAGAATTATCACATTGTCTTCCTTTCAGTAACTATTCACTAAGGCTTAATCTGTCTTAATATAGTTAATATAAATAATTACAAAAACTTAAAAGCAGAATTTTTCAGAATGCTGACAGGTGGCAAATCACTTCAAATTCAGTATTTTCACAAAGCATTTTAAAAGGTTGTGCTTTGGGGTGCCTGGGTGGCTCAGTCAGTTAAGCGTCCAACTTTGGCTCAGGTCATTTATCTTCCACTTCGTGGGTTCGAGCCCTCTGCCAGGCAGGATCTGTGCTGACAGCTCAGAGCCTGGAGCCTGCTTCGGATTCTGTGTCTCCCTCTCTCTCTGTCCCGCTCCCACTTGCACTCTGTCTCTCTCTCTCAAGAATAAACATATGTTAAAAAATATATTTTTTAAGGTTGTGCTTTACTTTAAATTAGTTTTGCAGGATGCTACAGAAGAATTTAATTAAGAAATTTACCTCTTCAGGAACACCATTCTGTCTTCTTAGTTCCATATCCTTCTGTTTAATATCCTTTTCCCAGTTTTCTAAATCTCTCATAAAGTCTTGTAATTCTTCTGCATTTTGTTTCACTTGTAGTTGTAATTCAATTGCTTTATTTGTCGAAGTCATTATGGCCTGTAGAGTTTTGACCAACCAATCTCTCACAAGAATTAAACAAATATATTTGGTTTATTTTTTGAAGCTTAGCTAAAATAATGAATTTTTTTTACCACTTCATAAATGGCCAAAATACACGGAGAAAGGAGAGCCTAAAGTGATGCTGAAGAAGGAAAATATCAGAATATTATTTTTTAGGTGAATCAATGTTTGCTGAATGAACAAATGAATAACAGACAAGTTTGGGCATCACTGAAATGCAATGTGAATGAACGGCAATAAGGAAATCATTGAAATTAGCAAAAGCCCATGGTAGCAGACTATCTGCCCATTTCCAGCTTACAAATTAATCCTAATTATCTACTTACTCCTTTCAAAGGAGTAAATTTATTGAACTTCTGCTATGTGATAGGCCTTGTAAAAACAAGAAAGACAAGGTCCTGCATCTAGTGGAGAAGGAAACAAAATAATCAAGTACTGAGCAACAAAATATTAGGGTAGGCAGGGTTTCTTAGCCTAGGGCTATTGATATTGTGGACCAGATTTTCCTTTCTGGTAGATCGTCCTCTGCGTTGTAAGATAGCTGGCAACATCCCTGGCCTCTCCCAACTAGGTAGCGGTATTCCCCCTCACCTCCAGACTGTGAGCATCAGTGTCTCCAGACACTGCCAAATGTCACCTGGGAGGCATAATTAACTCCTGGTTGAGAACAACTGTGCTACATAGAGGTACATACAGGTGCTGTGGGACTGACCACAAAGGACAGGCATAAATCAGATGGTGGGTAGGGTGGGGGGTTCCAGGAAAGAGGCCCCAGAGTTGCTCTAACTAGCCAAGCTTCAAAGAGGCCAGCCAAGTGATTAACCATGGAGGAGTGGGCAGATGGACTGAGGGACTAAGAAAGAGAATGATGAAATGATGAAGGAGAAGGCGCAGGTGGCTATGGGACAGATCTTGAAATGCCAGGCCATGAGATCTCGAAGTTAAGTTAAAAGTATTATAGTGGGAAGATAAAAGATACTTGATGACTGATTCACATAAGGAGTGGGGGAGCAGAGGACTCAACCAATGTCTTAGATTTCTGGCTTGGAAACCTGGTTAAATGAGGAAAGGAAAGGGAAAAGTTTCAGGATTGGAGGACAAGAGGAAAGACAAATATTTCAGTTTGAGATATGCTAAGCTGGGTGCTTATGGAACATCAGGAGGATATATCCAGTAGGTAGTTAAAGGCAGTTACACACGGCTAGTGATACAAATTTGGGTGTCACTAGCATAAAGGTGTAAATTACAATCACGGATTTGGACACGTTTAATCACTGTAACTACAGGTTTGGGTGGGGAGGGGCTGGAACGTGGAAAACACTATCATTTAGGGAAGAAGCAGAGGAAGAGATGCCAACAAACACAGGAAAAACTAGGCAGCAACAACCAGAGAGCTGGGCGGAAAACCTGGGAGAGTAGTCACAGAACAGAATTTTCAACAATTCAAGAAGGTGAGAGGTTAGCAGTGCCAAATGACACAAAGATCATCAAAGAGGAATGAAAGTGCATTATTATTTGGTCATATTAAGACTTATTGAGAGTTTTAATGAGATTTAAAGAAAAAAATGGAAATAAAATGAGCTGCTGAGTAAATGAGATTATATTGGGATTAGTATGATTCTGTCTTTAATAATCAAAGATTGCTCAGAAATATAGTCTGGCGAAGAGAAACAAGATAAAGGAAGATCTAGGAAAAAAGATAAGTGATGAGACAAAGTCCCCAAAAAGGTGGGAGCGGACTCAAAGCTTAAGAGAAGTGGGGAAGCAGAATGGGAGAGAGAGAAGAGATGAGAAAAATCAGTTTTCTAACGGTTGCAAACGCAGATTGGTCTTCTGACCCGTAGCCCAGCCCTAGAACCTAAACTAAGTTTAAGACTCTTTTCAGGCAGCGCCTATGTTTGATCACCTATGTAGATCTCATTTTTAGAAAGTAAAATAAAATAAGGCGAAACTAGTACATTGCTTTGCTGGGGGCTCAAAAATAGGAATAAAGCCGCACCACGCCACTGAGATGCTGCAAAGCGTCAGAACCCTTTTCCGTTTCATTCATTCATCACCTCTCCTGATCCCACAGGGGTAAATGCTCCCAAGCGAACCTGTGACAGGGCTGGAGTCCCAGCAAGCACACAGAAAGTTCCAGTGCGGGGGGTATCGCTTTCACACTCAATATCCGGGCAAACGCTGCACACCGACGCCGAGAGGGGGCGGGCCTCACCGCAGTTCTCTCGGGAGATAGTGGATCTGCGGTGCTACCACTGCCAATCCGCCCAATACCCCGGGCAGCTGGGGTAGAGGGTCGGTCAGCAGAGATCGTCCAGCCCCGGGCGCGCGGAGCAAACCCCTTCCGGAACGCTCACCCGGGACGCCGCTACCTTAGACACCGCCGCGCCCTCTCCGCTCCCCTCACGCCCTCCGCCTCACCCGGGACCCACGGCCGCGCGCCCCCTTCGTGACAGGCGACCCCAAAAGCCTCGTCGGCTGCTGCAGCTGGAGGTAACGACAAGGCCGACTCACCTCACTAGGCCGTTACTGCCCGCAAGGCCGGTATCCCAGGGCCGCAGCGACTCACGCCGGGCCCCGCCTTCCTGAGCTTTCCCACAAGTCCCCGCGTGCCGCCGCCCCGCCCCCTGGCGTCCGGGCGGAGCGTGCGCGGACAGTCAGATACGGTACGCCTTTCTTCTCAGGGTAGGAGAATTGACACTTGCCTTGAAGCCAAATCTGACACCTTGCCTGCTTCCAGTATAACTAAACTTCACGGGAGGTAACCCAAAACTGCAGAGTCATCCTTACTTGTTCTGATTCCCAGAGTAATAACTCCTTGAATGTTTCCTTGGACTCCCCTCCAGATAATCTAATCCCGAATGTCTGCCTTGCGGGTGTCTAGAGATCACGACCTATGTAAGTACGATAATCATCTGAGAAAGGTACTATTTCTCTGTCTGAACAGACTGTAATCTTGTAATTGTCATACATGCAGTTGTTTTGTTTTGTTTCCTTTAAGTACTTGTATTTGGCAAACCGGTTCTTCGGTCTGACTCTCTTCACCTTTGCAAGTAAACTGCTTTTCAGAGTCTGTCTCTTGAGTCTTTCTTGGTCGTGTGTCAGTACTAAGATTTGTCTTTAGAGTGCCCTGGCTTACAAAGAAGAATGAATGTGAAGCCTCTAACATTTCTTGCTTCTGCTTCCACTATGAGTGAGCTTTCTTTCATTTTCAGGACAACTCTAAAATTGTTAAACAAAAATGATTTCAAAACTCCATTAAAACAAACAGAAGCAAAGAAACCTGTCAGTTTGAAACAACTCCATGATCTCAAACAATAGCCTCAAAATCCAGTTCCGTGGCTCTTAGGCTTGACTGAACTTTGGAATCATCTATGGAGCATTAAAAAAAAAAAATACTGATATCTAGGTTTTGTCCCCAGAAATTCTGATTTAATTAATGCAGCCTGGGCATCATGATTTTTTAAAGCACAAGATACAACTGTGCGTTTTAGACTGGAAACCACTAATCCAGATAATGGTCAACGAAAAACCATCCTGAGGGGGGGTCCTCTCTTACAAGGGCAGATCATTAGCTCATCTTTCCCACTGTATATTTATATAGTATCTTAGTATTTTTACATCATAGTAGTCATTAAGTGAATCATCAATATATTTACTAATTAAATTATTCTTTTGCTTTGTTTTTAATTATTATAATAAATAATTTTAAAACATATTGATTTATGGATGTCCTTAACTAAACCAATGTATTTTTTTAAGTGAATTCTACCAGACGCCATTGAGATGAGAAGGATGGGGGCTGCTGGCTCCTTTAGTAAAACCTCGGAGACCCTTGGGTGACTCCTCCGTCCTCTTTGTCTCCCTCTCAAGTCACATAATAGACAGTTTCTTAGTGAGTACAGAAGCAAAGTGAAAGGAGTTAATTAGATGGTCTTGATGGCCTTTGTTACCCAATTCCAAGGCTCACATTGTTCTACCCAAACCAGCTATGCCTGTCATGACAGCCTTCTCTCCTCTTATGTAAGCCCAGACGCAGGCCATCATAAGTTCTTTTCTAGATTGCAGACTTACCCACTTTCTGTTGACATATCTTCAAATAGTTTTCAACAAGTTTGGTAAATTATGCTTATATGTCTCATTAATTAATTTATTTTTAGGGAAAACAAACCCCAGTCATCTCAGTTGCACTTATTGTTAATAGCTGAATAGTCATTTTCAAAAAGGTATCTCTTTATGTGTTTGTTCTTTAGGTTGAATTTCTTTTTTTTTTTTTTAATATTTTTATTTATTTCTAGGAGAGAGAGAGAGAGACAGCGTGAGCAGGGGAGGGTCAGAGAGAGAGGGAGATACAGACTCTGAAATAGGCTCCAGGCTCTGAGCTGGCAGTCAGCACAGAGACCGACGCGGGGCTCGAACCCACGAACCGCGAGATCATGACCTAAGCGAAAGTCGGACGCTTAACCGACTAAGCCACCCAGGCGCCCCTTTTAGGTTGAATTTCTAATAGTGGAAATATATATAAGTGTTTACTATTGCAAGAGTAAAATGCTGCAGTTAATGATTATGAATGGTGTTCGTTTTGTCAATGGTGTTAATGTCCGAAACGATTACTGAGATCTTCAAAATAGCTAAATAAGGAAACACTCTGAAAGTTTATATGAATCTCCTGGGTGGCTCCTGGGTGGCTCAGTTGGTTAAGCATCTAACTCTTGATTTCGGCTCAGGTCATGATCTCACGGCTCATGAAGTAGAGCCCCGCATCAGGCTCTGTGCTGACAGTGTAGAGCCTGGTTGGGATTCTCTCCCTTGTTCTGTCCCTCATGTGCGCTCGCTCTCTCTCTCTCTCTCTCTCTCTTTCTCTCTCTCTAAAAAATAAATAATTTTTTAAAAAGAAAGAAAAGGAACATTAGCTAAGTAGCTTTATTCACATTTGTGAACCTTGGGGTTGTTATGAATTGTAGGAGGTTTAATTGCATGTGAGATAAAGCCCAGTATCATAGTGGCTTAGACATAAGAGAATAATATTTCTCTCTCAAAGAAGACTGAATGTGAGCAATCCAGGGTTGGTATGTGTTGCAGACTAGAAGTCTAGAGTCCTCTCTTGTACAGCAAGAGGGTGGATGCAGAATTGAAAACGAGAGAGCCTAATATCCAGGAGGAGACCAGAGCCCCCAGCAGGGGTTTCATCTCCGTATTTATTGAGCTCTTGAGATCTTACACACACGGTGAACGTGAAGAAAACTGTCATCAGCTCCAAGAACCAAAGGGCCTGGGGGGCAAGTGGAGTTTGTGATCAATGTCTACTGGTGTCAGATGGAAAGTAATTTTACGGGTGATCCCATTACAGCATCTTGTTACCTAGCCCCAGGTTCTTTTGCCCCATGGTGGCGACTTTCTGCCCTAAGCTTTTTCCTAACCCACTTATGTAAGTAGAACCTATTTCCCCACAGGGATGATAATTCCAGTGTCGACCCAGGTACCTTCTACTTTGCCGCTCCATCATCTTGAGCATGTGGCTTCCCTGGTGGCTCAAGATGGACGCTCAAGCTCCAGCCATCTTGTCTGCAACCCAGACAGCAGGAAGGGGCACAGTAGGAATGATGGCCTTTAGGAACACTCCCGTTTGCATGCCACTGGCCAGGACAGACACACGGCCCCTCCTCTGCAAGAGAGGTTTTTACTCTTGGAAGTCATGTTGCTTATCTAAAAACAATCCAGGAAAAAGAGGAGGAGAGCAGATACTGAGGGGAAACCAGTAACCTCTATCACAGGCCTTCATAAGTATTCTTTGAAAGAGTAACAAACGAATAAATGAGTCAATACTGCTAGAAATCCAAGCTCACTATAGCCTGAGGAAAAGGGTTAAATTTTGTAATCCTGTTCTGCTACTTACTGAGAATGTGGCCTAATCAAAGCCTGTTGTCTAGGGAAAATTAAAATGGTAAAGATGAAAAAAACTAATAGGCTGAGCAAAATGTATGTAAAAACCTCACCTAGCACAGTTTGGAACAGCTTGAGATCTTAAATATTAATTCATTCCTTAGCAAAGCTAAGGTCCAGGCCCTGGGATATGATCACTGGCTCTGTGTCCCACTTGACTGCCTGGAAGACCTCTGAAGAGGTCTGTAAGGAGGACAAGTACTAGGCACCAGTAGATGAATGTTAAGGTTAATTGCAGGGAACATGAACTGCCTCTCTTCATGAAAAATGAAATCTGTATAATAAGTGAGACAGGTAAGAATTATTGTAAGTTATAAACATATTGTACCTTTTATCTCACAACGTGATGGTAATATTAGCCCCATAATACCAATGAGGAAACTCCTTTGAATAACTAAAACGTGTGCCTATACAGCCGGCAAGTGACAGGGTTTGGTGAGGTACCTGGGCATTCTGACTTCAGAGCCAGCACCTGTGACCACCGTGTTCTGCTGACTCCCTGTCCTGCTCATTTGACTGTGAGCTCCCCTGAGGAAGAGCGAGATGAGGCCCTGCTTCATCCATCTGTAACTTGCCTGAGGTATTCCTTCGTACCTGGCATTTTCCTAGCATGTGTGGCCCACATGATCTGTTTACAGGTAAGAACTCTCTTTATCTCTTTAATACCTCCTCCTCCTCCCTCACCTTGGTCAACTCCCACAACCACAGAAGCTACATCCAGGAGCACCCTTATGTTCCTTGTGGATGTGGTCAAGGGGGCTGCTTATAAGGGCTGGAGATCACCAGTCTCCATGTACCGCACCCCATAATCTAAGTGCAATGCTCCTTCCACTCTTTTTTTTTTTTCAGACCTTATTTTTTTAATAGAAGTTTTAGGTTTCCAATAAGCTGAGAGGAAGGTACCAAGATTTCCTATACACCTCCTGCCACATACATACATAGCCTCCCTCATTGTCAATATCAGTCCCCAGAAGAGTGCAATTTTCTTTTTATCAAAGATGAACTTCACGTTGACACATCACCTAGAGTCTTAACTTAGTTTAACACCCAGAGTCTAACCTTAGTTTAACTAAGGGTTCACTCTTAGTACTGTACTGTGGGTTTGGACAAATTTATAACAACTATGTATCTATCATTGTATCATACAGAATATTTTCACTGCCTTAAAATCCTCTGTGCTCTATGTATTCATCCCTCCCCACTACCTGCTACTCCGGGAACTACTTGATCTTTTTTTATTGTCTCCATAGTTTTGCTTTTTCCAGAACGTCATATACTCGGAATCATACAGTATGTAGCCTTCTCAGATTGGCTTGTTGTCACTCAGTATTACGAATTTAAGGTTCCTCCATGTTTATTCACGGCTTGATAAGTCAACTTCTTTTTAGTGCTGAATAATATTCTATTGTCTGGATGGACCACAGTTCATTCACCTACTGAAGAGCATCCTGGTTGCTTCCAAGTTTTGGTAATTATGAATGCAGCTGCTATAAACATTCACACGCATGCGATTGTGTGGACATAAGTTTTCAGATCCTTTCGGCAGATACCAAGGAGAATAATTGCTGGATCATATGGTAAGAGTATGTTTTATTGCGCGAGAAACTGCCAAACTCTCTTCCAATGTAACTGTCCATTTGTACTCCCACCAGCAATGAATGAGAGTTCCTGTTGCTTCACATCTGTACCAGCATTTTATCTTCACTTCTTACTTCTTATTTTCCTTCTCTCCAAAGAACTTTATTTTAAAATTTCTTGCAAGATCTGCTGGCAACAAATTCCCTGAATTTTTGTTTAATTGAGAAAGTCTTTGGGGCGCCTGGCTGGCTCAGTCAGAAGAACATGTGACTCTGATCTCAGGGTTGTAAGTTCAAGGCCCATGTTGGGTATAGACGTTACTTAAAAATAAAAAAATCTTTAAAAAAACAAAAAAGACAAGTCTTTATTTCTCCTTCCCTTTTGAGAGATAATTTTTGCAGGGTCCAGAATTCTAGGTTAGTGGGGTTTTTCCTGTCATTTTTAAATATTTCACACCATTCTTTTCTTGCTGGCATGGTTTCTGAGGAGAAATTGGATGTAATTCTTATCTTTGTTCCTCTGTAGGTAAGATTTCCCCCGCCCCCAGCTTCTTTCACGATTTTCCTTTATCTTTGATTTTCTATAATTTGAATGTGATACGTCAAAGTAGAGTTGGGTTTTTTTTTTGACATTTATTCTGCTTGGTGTTTTCTGAACTTTGGGTCTCTGGTTTGATGTCTGTCATTAATTGGGGGAAATTCTCAGTCATTATTGTTTCAAATATTTCTTTTGTTCCTTTCTCCCTTCCTTCTCCTTCTGGTATTCTCATTATGTGTATGTTATACCTTTTGTAGTTGTCCCACAGTCCGTGGATATCCTGTCTTGGGTGTTTTTCAGCCTTTGTTCTCTGGCATTTTGGTTTTGGGGATTCTGTTGAGATATCCTCAAGCTCACAGATTCTCTCCTCAAATGTGTCCAGTCTACTAATAAGCCCATCAAAGCTATTCTTCATTTCTCTTATAGTGTTCTCATCTCTCTAATTTCTTGTTGGTTCTTTCTTAGGCTTTCCATCTCTCTGCTTACATTCTGCCCATCAGTTCTTGCATGCTGTCTATTATTTATTATAGCCCTTAGCTTATTAATCAGTTGCTCTAAGCTCCTTATCTGATAATTCCAACATCCCTGCCATGTCTGTTTCTGATGTTTGCTCTATAGCTTCAGATTGTGTTATTTTGCCTGTTGGTATGCTTTGCTGATTGCCAGGCATAGTAAGTAGGCCTTTAGTAATGCAGTCGTGAGGGGTGAGGAGAAGGGAAGCCTTCTACTATGATTCTGTCTCAGTCTTTTAGTGAGCCTGTTCCTCTGGATTGAGAACTTCACAGCTGTTTCTCAGAAGGTTTTTTTCTCCCCCTTTCTGTGTGAGACGATGGCTAAAATGGGTGGATTTGGGTATTTCCCTTCTTCAGGTCAATTAGGCTCTAATAATATTCCAGCAGGTTAGCCTCTGGCTAATAAGTTTCCTCCAACGGCAGGCTTTGTTAAGAAGGACAGAGCACTCTAGCTATTTCAGAATGATTCCACTTCTCCCTGGGCCAGAAGCCCGAGGGGGTTTTCTCTGACACACAGGTTTCTTTGGGAACCCAGTGGCGCTCCTCGCCCTATGACTGGGTTCCTGGAGTTTTTAACTCTCAGAGTAGTCTGCACCGGCTCTCCATCAGGCAATTCATCAGTTGCCGTTTGGATTTTCCTGTCTTGGCACTGGCTTCCGCCATGGTTTCTGCTTGAGAGTCTCCGCTCCAGTAAGCTTGTCTTTCCAAGCTTATGACAATCTATATTTGCCTGACTTTCCAGTCTTCAGGGCATCTGCTTGCCTGTGTCCTCGCCTCTCTTCCAGATCCAAGATTTGTTGATTTTTCAGTCTGTCCAGTTTTTTACTCGTTGGTAGGATGGAGTAGTAACTTCCAAGCTCCTTATATGTGGAACCAGAAGCCAAAATTACACTCCTTCCACTGCTCCTACTACGAGTCCACCAGGAAGAACTCTCTTCCCCTGTTGGCTAGAGAGATCTGGGGAGTCCTCAAGGACTTCAAGATACCACCTTCTCCACACCGTCCTGAAGAGACACTGAAGCCAGCAACATTGCTCCCAGCCCTGCTCCAGGGAAAAGGCAGGGAGGGAGACATACACTTGGAGGGCGGGGGTCATATACAAAGAAGGGACAGAGTTTAGGTTTTCCGAATGACTTTAATTGGAGACTCAAACCCTGTAAACCATCACTCAAGCCTAGGTCTCCCTCAGGTCAGGGTAGAGATGCATAACTAAGGTTGGAACAAGGGAGCCCCCCCTCCCTGGTCTTTAATTCCAGCAAATGGGGGCTGCTGGGTAAGTCTTAAAATAACTGTTAATGTCACCAAGCTGTAAATTCCTTTTCTCCTGATGCAAAATCTTCTTTCTATTTGGGAGGCTCTTTCACAAAATACGTGGAATCAAAATACACCTCTGCGCCTGCACTAAACATATACAAGTAGGATGCTTCTTGATGCAGTCACTGAGCTGCTACAGAAACACTCAGGCCTGGAGAAGTTCACTCCCTCCCAAGTTCGCTCGGTGCCAACCCATTATGCCGTCCATCAGTCATCAGCATTCTCCCAGGCCCTGTTCTGTGAGGCTATAACCCTAGAAACGACCAAACACCCACTGCCTGATTTCCATGACTAGAGTTCTTCAAGGCCCTGACACAGGGCTGAGCTGCAGTTTGCAAAGCTGTGTACGATAACAGCCATTATAGTAACCTTGATTTTTTAGCTGCTGTTCTTCTTAAGAACAATTAAAAACACCTTCACGGTAATACCATCAGGTTTGCCCTCTTATCAACTCCAAAAAGAGGAAAGGGGGCAAACCCCTTCCCTTTACATTAAAAGGAAACATGGGGCCTGGAGAGGTCAAGGACTTGTCGCCCGTCAGGACAAAGGGCCATGGAGGGCTCCTATCTTCTCTGTCTGGATTCTATTTCCAAACTGCTGAAGCACAAAAATTCGAGTTTCTCTGCATTTCTCTTATTTGTTTCTTTTCTCTTTTTCCCATAAGGGCATTTCTAGACTTGGGAATCCCCCCCCCCCCCCCCCAGTCTCCCCCATCCTCCTCCAACCTCAGGTGCAGATAGCACCTGAGTCTTGCAAGAGCTCCCACTGTCCTCGGGCCCATGTCTGGCTCCAAGCTCTATTGGGTGGAAGATACCACATAAGCTGTGGCAATGTATTTCTTGCCATTTCCGTAGGTGGACTTGTCCCAGGTATAGGTCTGGATGGCCAAGGGGTATCCACCCAGGCTTAACTGGCACCTGTGGGGAAAGACAGCCAAGTCAGAGGGGCCTGCCCCGTCTCTCCACGCCCATCCCTTGGCTGGGAAGATCAAGTCCGACCCATGCAGAAGGGCTCCACCCAGACTTGAACAGCCTTTAAGAGACCTGCCACAGCTTTCTTCAGCCACTGCCTCCAGCTCCCCATGCACAGTCAGTCCTTCAAAATCTGTGCCTTATTTTCTATCTTCCTAAAGAACACTGTTCTTCATCTCTCCCAGAACAGTCGTCTAAAATCTCAGAGGCTATGGCTGAACCCCCAGAAATGAAATGTTAGGGTTTCAGAACTAGTAGGACCCAAAGTCCTCAAAAGTTGGAAGGCATGAGGCTCCGTGGCTTCTAGCTATACCCTCTGGGATGTCAGGTTCTCGCTAGGAGCCTTTGGGGCCAAAGAGAGAGGCCCATGGTGCCAGAGCAGCTCCATTTTCTCACTGTTCTATTTTTTTCTTAGTGTTTATTTTGGAGAGAGAGACAGAGCATGAGCAGGGGAGGGGCAGAGAGAGAGGGAGACAAAGAAACCAAAGCAGGCTCCAGGCTCCAGGCTGTCAGCATAGAGGCCGACACAGGGCCCAAACTCACAAGCCGTGAGATCCTGACCTGAGCTGAAGTTGGACACTTAACTGCCTAAGCCACCCAGGCACCCCTGGCAACCACCAGTCTTATGTAACAACTCCATTGCCTGAGTGAGAAAACTGAGGTCCGGAAGGGTGATCTGTCCGAGCCACGGAGTCACAGAACCCAGCTCTCCTGACCATCCTGGCCGAGAAGAGCGTGTGGCCCTGGCCTGCTCCCCGGGCCTGGCCGGCCCAGTACTTACACTTTGCCTGGCCTGGCAATGAAGCACAGGGAGTAGAGTGCAAACTCAAACTCAGGGCTGCTGCCGATGAAGGCTGAGCCCACCTCCTTGTAGTAGCCGTCCCAGTTGAACTGCATGGCTAACACGTCGGGGTAAGAATCCCACTGCGGAGAGTAGCAAAGAGGGCCTGGTGAATACCACAGAGTGCGGCCTGACTGAGAGGTGACAAACGGTAGCAGCCGGCCAAGATTTGTTGATGGGCTGTGTGAGTTTTCTGGGGAGGCTGCGTTCTTCACGTTGACCAGGGAGACGGTCTGCCCTGCCGAGGTGTCACACCGTCTGTCTGGAGCTGCCAGTGTGCATCTCCCAGAGAGGCCAGAGCCCACACTCCTGTGACCGATAGTGGGACAGCTGGAGCGCTATCTGGTTCTTGTGGCCATCACATGTGGAGGAGGACAATTTGTTGCCCCTAAATTATTTCCTGGCACAGGGCAGCAAAGGTTTCTTTTTAATAAAACGTAAGGGGTTGAACCCAGACTAGCCAGGCTGAAACTTCCAGCCAAGGCCACGTTCTAAGGAAATTCAGGCAGGGGGTAATTGTACATCTCTGAGAGCAGTCTTCCCCTCTGAGAACCCTCCCCCAGCCTCCCGTCCAGAGATGGCGCTGTCTGCCTCCTATCCTCTGCAGTCTGGAGCCTTCCGTGTTAGGGGGTCTCCTCCGGGATGTGCTCTCCGGCAAATAGGGAAGTCATATTCACAGTCCCCACTAGGTGGCCAGTGAGAGTCACGGTGAGAGGCATGTCTGGCTGTTTGGAGTACAGAGTGAGGGCAGGATATCTGACTACTAATAAGGTTTCTTCAGTCCATGGGCTCAGCACTCAGTACTCACAGGGCCATCGTAGATGTGACTGTAATAGTCAACCAGGCCCTCCTTCTCCTGCATGTAGAAGCGGATCCAGTTATGGAAGCCAGTGACTTTGCCTTTTTTGACTTCACCTATAATAAAGAGTTTAAGGTGGGTGATCTGGGCCTCCCCAGATCCCTCCCCAACCCCTCTGGCCCCTCCCATGCCAAGGCTGCCCCCCCTTCTTCAGGCTTTGGCTTGTAGAATGCACACCTACTCAGTCCCTTGCCCTGACTTCTAGCATCCCTAACTCTCACCTAGGAAAGCCTCCCCCAAACCCTTTCAGCTCAAGCCCTTGGGAGAATTCCTCCTCCCAGCTGGCCCTGGTGATCAACCTGGGATTCTCCTCTCAGCGGTCTCCCCAGTAGCAAGCCAAACATGGCAGGAGCTTTATGGGGTGGGGAGAAAGACCATGGCCATCTTGGAAAGCTGAGGACCATCCAGAGGTAGACAGCCATGCCCCAAACACATCTCCCTTCCTACGTGTGCCCTTTGGGAGCCCCAGTATCTGGTCTCCTTTCCTCTTCAGACATCCCAGAAGAGACCGTTCTTCAAAAGCAGCTCCTCAGACCCCTTCCTTTCAGCTTGGGAGTGGACGTGTCCCTCCCTGTTAATTGGCTTGGCTGCCGATTCAGCAGTGCCCAATGCTGCCCTACTCCTGAGGGAAGTTGTCTCTTCCTTCCTCCAACTCTTTCTTTCCAAGCAGAATAATCCCACCTGAGAAGACATGTTCGAAGCCACTTGAGTCTCCCTCTTCATTGCCTCTTGAATAGAGCCCAAACCACATGTTCTTCAAGTCGCTGACAAACTCTTGTTCCGAGCTGTAGCGGTCTGCAGAGAGGAACACAGAGGACTTAGGAGAGGGGAAGGAGGGACCAGGTCCTGGGAAGCAGGGAAGGGCTACCGGCTCCAGTGCATCAAGAGACACATGGGTTCAACCATCAAACGTATTCAGTTGTCTACTCAATAGCTATCCACAGTGCACCTGTTCTGTGCCAAGCCAGATCTAAAGGCTGAGGATTCAGCAGGGAAAGGCAAGGACGAGATCGTCATAGTTTCCATTCCAGTGAAGAGACAAACAATATGATCGCAGATAAGTGCCATAAAGAAAATAAAGCAGAGTAGCCCATGATGACTGGAGGTGGGGTGGGGGTAGGGGGCCCTTTGAGAAAGGAAGATCAGAAAGGCCTCTCAGAGAAGGTAGCACTAATCAGAGACCTGAAGGAGTCGGCCATGCAAAATCTGGAGGGGGGCAGGTAGGTAGAGGGAGCAGCAGGTACAAGGCTTTAAGATGACTTGGGCGTTGTGTGCAGAGCGAAGAGAAAGTCAGTGTGGCCAGAGCACAGTGGGCTGTGGGGGAGGGTGGTAGCAGAGGACATCTGATAGGTAGGGAGTGGCACCCACACACAAGCCATGGCAAGAAAGCTGGGTGTCGGCCAAAAAGTAATCACACAAAAATATTTTAGATGTACTGAGTATGTTCTATGTGCCTGGACTCTTTTAAGTGCTTTCAGTCCTCGCACTCATATAAAGTTGATACTAATTATCCCCAATTTAGAAATGAGGAAATTGGGGCAGACTAGGCTATGTAACTCTCACAAGATCACACAGTTAATAAAAGGTAGACATGGCACTTGAGCCCACATGATTGCTACTGACATCAACTGGTCTCTCAACTACTTTATAGCTTCTGAGAGGAGAAAGAGCCACCGAAAGGTTTTAAGCAGGGAAATTATGGGATAGCTTTGTTTTTAAAGGCTCACTCTGGTTGTGTATGTAAATAGCCAGCAGAGACACCAGTTTTGAGGCTAACGCTTTGTCCAGGTCTAAAACTGTGGTGACAGCCGTGGAGGAGGGGTGAGAAGCAGGCACACCAGGGACAGATTTTGAAGGAGGGTGTGATGGACATTACTGATGGAGGAGTTGGAGGTGAGGAGCTGTGAATTAAAGAGAAGAATCCAATCGGACTCCTAGGGTTTGGGCCTGAGCATTGGGCTAAGCTACAGTGTCATTGATGGGATGGCAAAGCCTGAGGAAGGAGGTCTGGAGGAAGACAGGGGAAGCATGAGTTCTCTCCACACTAAGTCCTGACTACATGCCACGAGAAAGCCACATGAGACATCAGAGAAGCAGTGGAAACCCAAGAGGAAAGTTGGGTCTGGAGCTCTAATTTAGGGAGCCATCAGATATCCACAGTCTGCTGCTCAGAACTGTGTGTGGAGGATACCAAAGAGATAGCAGCACCTTCTGACCTTTCAAGGACTTAAAACACAGGGGTGCCTGGGTGGCTCAGTAGGTTAAGTGTCCGACTTCAGCTCGGGTCACGATCTCACAGTTTGCGAGTTTGAGCCCCGCGTCAGGCTCTGTGCTGACACCTCAGAGCCTGGAGCCTGTTTTGGATTCTGCGTCTCCCTCTGTCTCTGCCCCTCCCCTACTCATACTCTATCTCTCAGAAATAAACATTTAAAAATTTTTTAAAAACCACAGTTGGAAAACAGGACAGAATATACACGAAATAAGAATGGTTTCACAATCTGAATGGCTACCACTTACCCGGTGTCCAGCTTTCCACTCTGTGCTTTACCTGCATTAATCCGCCAAGACCCCATTCACAGATAAGGCTCAGACAGGGAAGATAATTTGCCCAGGGTCACACCACTAACAAGTGGCAGGGTCTGTCTGGCCCAAGGCGATTTGGGGCTACCCTCCCACCCCGAAACCCTTGACCTCTGAGGAGATGCTGAAAGCCAGCGGTGAGCTGGGGCAGGTGCAGCTTCAGCGATGTGGGACTTGAGCTAGAAGTGGAAGGACAGTCTGGATTTGGACAGCGACAGAGGTGAGGACAGGACAAGTATGGAACAGCCTGGCCTCAGGATCAGATCCCCAGGTCCCAGGGAACTCACAACTTCCCTTGTGGTCTCAGACAGGTCACCTAGCCTGTGCGAGCCTCCACTTCTCTCCTCTGACAAGCTGCCTTGACCTCCAAGACTCTCCGGTGTTTCCTGCAGAGGAGCACCAAGGCGCGGTGCCGGATCGCGCCCTCTCCACTTGTGTGTCACCGGCTTTACCTAAAAACTGCGTGTGACCAACTCTTAAGGGAAGGTGGGCAGATGGGATGCAGCAGCTCTGAGCGGAGGACACAGCTGCCCACGAGGCGAAGCCCAGCTGCCTGGAGCTCACGAGAGGAATGGGCAGGACACTAACAAACACAACGCCGTGCCTCAAAGTCCTGCGGCTCAAGCCTTTTCTGGTCTGATTCGAATGTATCCCTATCTGGAGCCACTCCAACCAGAACCCCTCCCAGTAGAACGTCCCTCTCTGAACTTTCAGTGATTTTCTGTTGCTATTTCCCCCGCAAAAACGTGGAGAGAGCCAACGTCCTTCCTGGACCCAGAGCACAAGGAGGGAGGGGAATCAGGGACCCTATGCGCCTGGGAGGTGGCGCTGGCCCTGGGACTGGCTGAAGCGGGGTGGAGTGGGGTGACTCCCCCTCCTGCAGAGACCCCGAGACTGAAGCAGCGAGTGGCGGGGATAAACGAGGCAGCTAAGGGTAACTCAAAAGAGAGGCGACCTCCAAAGCCAGACAGAGGCTTTCCTCAGCTCCTCAGGGCCACGGTCTCTCCCGGGCTCCTCTCTGGCCCCTTCCCTGCCCCTCGCAGACATCCACTGGCCGCCACATAGTCCCCACCTGCTCTCTTCACCTCCCCCCCACCATGGAGCCCCAGGGCTGGCAGGCATTCCTGCAGACACCCCCGTCCTCAGCACTGCCCGGGAGGCTCACTCACTCTGGCTACGGAGGAAGCCATAGAGTTCCTTCATGACCGCAGTCTTCATGACCTCTCTGAGGAAGGCATCCTGCTCTGCCAGCTGTTGTGCGCTGAAGTGCTCCCCATGGCCTGTGGCCCGCTGGTAGTTGTTGAGGAGGTTGATGAAGGCTGCGTAGGTCGGCTTGGAAAACAGCTTCTCGTTGACATATGTGAAGAGCCTGGGGAAGGCAGAAGGCAGAGGGAGGCCCAATGAGAGGCCGGGACGTGGAGCAGAAACCCCCACAGGAACTGCCAGAAAGGCCGGGGCAGGCATTGGAGGATTGGGTTGGGGAGCAGAGTGGGGACTCCAGACGCTCTCCAAGGGCATACGTGAGGTCACTCTTTTCTTCCCCTTCAGCTCGTGGAAGGTCAGCTCTACTATCGGCCCAGTCACAGAAACCCTCCCAACTGGACACCCATAGTCCCTCAAGATATTTGTCTCTGGAGACCTATAATGTGTCCTTTCCCTTTGATCCTGAACGCCTTGAGGAGAGAAGAGCTGAGGTTGGGAAGGAAGCAAAGCCGGGGTTGAGAGCGGGAGCGGGGGGCGGGGGAGGCTTTGCAGGATGAGGAGTGAGGAGGACTCACGGCTCCGGGCACCGGTCCACTTGGTCTCGGGTCTCCGAGGGTGAGATGCAGTTTTGGCTGTTGATAATGATGTCTTCCTTCTGGGCTTTGTTGGTGTCTACCCTGTAGATCTTCTCCGAGATGCTCTGCAGCTCCTCCTTGGTTATGGCATCACTGCTGTAGGAGAAGCCCTCTAGGAAGAATTGGGGAGGGGGCGTCTCACCCAAGGCAGGCCTGGAGGAGGCAGCCATCTGTGTGCCCCCTCTCTTCGGCAGCTTCCCAGAAGCCAGCAGCCAGGGAGACAGGCTGTATAGGTCACCCTCGTGGTTGGAGGGCTGGGGCGTAGGGCCTAAAGGATACTTAAAATCACATGGCCTTGGGGCGCCGGGGTGGCTCAGTCGGTTAAGTGTCAAACTTCTGCTCAGGTCATTATCTCATGGTTCATGGGTTCGAGCCCCGTGCTGCTCTGTGCTGACAGCTAGCTCAGAGCCTGGAGCCTGTTTTGGATTCTGTGTCTCCCTCTCTGACCCTCCCCTGCTCTCTCTCTCTCTCGCTCTCTCTCTCTCTCTCTCTCAGAAATAAATAAAACATTTTAAAAATTAAAAAAAAAACAATAAAAAAATCACATGGCCTTGCCCACAGAATGTCCACAAAATGTCCACACCGCCCCCTCCCCTGGGGAGGTTCTCAAACTTTGGCCTGCACCAGAACCACCTGGAGGGCTTGTTAAAACAGGTCAGTGGGTCCCGCCCCCAGTTTCTGACAGTCGATCTCGGGGGAAGCCCTAGAGTTTGCATTTCTAATAAATCCCCACGTGTTCCTGGTGCTGCCGGGTCCAGGGACCACCCCCCTGGACAACTACTGTTCTGGAGAGTTCTTCCGTTTCTGGGGCTGTGCCAAAGGGAGCAGGAGACTGACCGTCATGGCCACACAGGCTCTCGAAATCGTTGCAGCAGTTCCCAAACTCTGGGCAGCGGGCATCGCAGTGGCATGGCTGGTGCCTGTCGAAGGCCTCCCGGCAGCGGTCCCGACAGGAGTTGGGCGCCAAGTACAAATCTGAGAAGACAGGGGAGGGGGTGTGTGTCCGGGGAGGACCGCTAGAGGGCGCCCCTCCGTCCGGCGGCCAGTTCACTGCCCTCTCTCTACACCGCCCCCCGCCCCCCCCAAGCCTCTCCCTCCTGCGCCGTATTCCAGATCTCCAGGGAAGGAAAACAAACAAGCTAAATCGGTGCACACCCTTCGCAGTCCGGAAGCCCTTTCAGAGGGGCCGAACTCTACTTTCTGGCCTGTTGTTTTTATAATCTTCCCACTCTAAAAATAAAATCTCTTCCCCTTCCCTCCATGGGCCTCAGATTCCCTTTCCTGCCTCCACCCTAGGCTGAGAGGTCGGCCCTCTTACCACCTCCAGGTGCTGGGTTGGGGGTTGGGGGTCCATCTGGCTTAGGCCTGGGCCCGTGGCTGCCGAGATGGCCGTCCCCTCCCTGTCGCCCTTTCATGTCCCCCCTCCCCTAGCCCAAAGTGTCCCCTTTGGGAAGGCACACTCACGGCTCACTGGGGCCTCCTCCGTCCCTTCCTCCAGCTCCAGGAATGGCTCTGGCTCTTTGGGCTCCTCTTCCACTGTAGGTCAGAGAAGGAAAGTCACCAAACACCCCCGAGGGGTCCCTTCCCTTTATCTGGGTCCTCAGTTCCCTCAGCCTCAGGGACAAGCAGTGCAGTGGAAGAGAACGCAAAACAGGGGGTAAGGCACCGCCTTACCTGAGTAAGACCCACAGGAAGAAGGCGACAGACTGAAAATGGCTGAAAACTGTTATAAAAAGTAAAAAGGATTTCCGCAGGTGACAACTCTTGCTTGCCACTTCACCATTCAGGGAAACCCATTTGTATTTGCTCCTCTGTGTAAAGGGGAGGGGTGGTGGCAGGAGCCTGTGCCTTCTGGATTGAAACCTGATTTTCGTATGATTTTGCTTTAGTGTAAGTTGGTAGATGGACGGGCTTGAGCTTCTCCAAACGACAAGGCCCTTGCTTAGGAACATCCCTTACCTATAAAAACTCCCGTCAGAGCCAAGGGTGAACTCCACCCAGGCCCTCCAGGACCAAGAACTGTTTCCTGAGATACCAACTTCCCTTCTTTCTTTACAACACTTGGCAATGGCCACGGACACCGTCTGGGGGGAGGGTGTGTTCAGAAGAGTGCGTGCTTAATGCTGCCCTATTCCCTGGGCCTGCAGGCTGTGGGACCGCAGCGGGGCTCTGGGCCGAGCAGGGTGGGTGGGGTGGGGGTGGGGAGGAGGAGGAAGGCTGTTCCTGGGGACTCTGAGCTCCTCTCCCACGCACTGGGATCATTTGCCCCAAAGAAGCAGCACCATTACAAAGTGATTCAGAATCTGTTAGTGAGTTTTCTGAAGAGTGCTCTCTTATTACTATCAGAACCACAGGTCAGATGATTCATTCTGCCTACAGATATCTTCTGATCACTCACTTTGTGCCAGGCTGTGTTCTAAGTGCTGACAATCTGCAGGGTTCTTAACGTAGCCAATGTTATGCTAAATGGACTTTCAAGAGCTGTTTGAGAGTCTCAAGCATCATCTAGATTTTTTTCTGCGGGGGTGGGGGGGGTGGGGGGGGAGGATTCTACGTTGCAAATCAGAGACTTGGAGATGGACTGGCTCCGAAGCTAAGAATTGTCTTTGCTGTGAAATGCCAGCCAGATGGTCCAAGGTGACCGGGGAAAAGGGGTAGGCTCTGATTTTGGCAGTGAGCTCTGGACCTGGGCTTCCACTCCTGGGGCTGCTCAGCAGAACTTCTGCTAGTATAGGTGGTGTTTTTGTGTAAATCGAATGAGGGTAGAAGCAGCTCAGTGAGCACATGGCTAGGTCTGCAGATACCACCTTTGGGAAAATTAGGGAAAGGTCCTCCTTCCTCTCAGCAGACACAGCTCTTCACCAGAGCACATGACTTAACAAGAAGGGTATTGATTCAGTTTTGGTCCACCTGGCCTTCTCAGCCAGGTGCCCTTGTGCAGTGTACAACCTGCACAACCATATGCGGCGGTCTTGCAGGCCATTACCTACCGTGGCTTCAGTGATCATGTTTACCCGACAGAGGGTCATGGCGTGTGGTTTGACAGTAAATTTAGCAAGGCTTTGTGTCACAAAGCAGAAGACCATTTATATGGTGCTCTACAACACTGGAAAGCATTCAAACAGGGGGATTATTCAAAATACTTTTTTCAAATGATTCCTTTAAAACTATGTTGTTAGTACAGCAGAGAAACAATTGGCTTTCGAGGGTGGTGTATGTCCCGTTCAATAGCTAGCCAGGGAATGACAGATTGAAGATGTTGCAGCCACTCAGTCCATGCATTATAGGAAGAGTAGAGTGAGTCACGACAGCCACTGTGATGCATGCAGTCTTCCTGGTGGCTTGCAAGTTGGGAAGTTCAAGGCCATTTTTACACTTTTGCAACTTAAAGTGTTGCATACCAGTTGGTAATATAATCCATGCTATACTGTCTGTTGTCATTTTGCTGTTTTGGGAATTACTTAAAACATTCCAGATAGTATTGTTAATCCTGACAGTTAAGACATACATTGCAGGTAAATGACATCTATTTTCTTTTAAATTGGGGTTTGACACTGGGGACATCCTAAAATATCTGGGACAAATAGTGGCCAAATCCCTGACCTTACTCTGTACCTCACTGTCCTCATTCGGGCCCTTTGAGCCCTGTCATCAGTCTTGAACTCTGCTCTGAACTGCTGGATACCCAAACCCACATCCCTTCAGGCGGGCTGGGCCTGGGCACGGAAGTGGCCTGGGGTGCTGTGCCTTCCAGACCCCTCACCCCACAAGGAGCCTCACCGGTACACAGGTGCTCATAGTCTTCACAGCAGTCCCCATGTCGGGGACACCGGCGGTCACACTGGCAAGCGGCATCCCGGTTAAATTTCTCATTACAGCGAGACGCACATGACTCCATTTTTCCTGTGGACAGTAAAGGTCACAAACTCAGGGCTATGTGGATCCTATTCTCCTCATCCAGGTAACCCCTGCAGTAGGGCTTGAAGACAGGGGCAGGGGCCCCACCCAGCAGGGAAGATCATTGTTATCTGCACGGGAGAACTACACGCAGAGCCTCCTGAGCACGACAGAAACCTCACCCCCATTACCCACCACCCACTGTGTATTGCGGGCCTCATACTACAGATGAGGATCACAAACTCAAATGCCTGTTGAGGCTAGACCTCTAGTAGAAGCAGGTAAAGAAGCAGAGGGGTGGAGGGAAGAGGTGGGGACCGTGACAAACTTGGCAGGGATGCTCTGCCTGAAATTGGCAGCCACTCTCAGCCCCATTCACTTGCTGCGTGTTGGGATGCAGGCTCAGTGTTCCAGAGCCTCTAATTTTTCAAGAGAAGCTTTAATTTTTAGGTGAACTTTCCCGGTTAAAAAAAAAACAAAACAGGCAGACCAAGGAAAGAGGTCTGTGGGCTGGTCATGACCCACTGGCCACCATTCGCCTGCCATGTAGATGAAGGTGCAGCACTGCCCTGATGAAGGGCAGGATCCCACCCGCCCTCTCTCCTCTGACACTCCCTTCCTCTCATCCTGTCCCTTTTATGTCTTCTGCTACTTTGTTCTTTACTCCCCTTCATCTGGTCTTCCCTGCACCCTGTTTCCCCCTGGGTCCCATCCTTCTGTTTCTGCGAGTCTTTGGAATGCGTTTGAATTACTTGATGGGAAATGAGGCGGGTGCGGGTAAGATTTCGGTTCTGGAATAGGATCTGTTATGTAGCCGCAGACCACATCTCTAACTCCAGCCAGATGACTTGCAGAAGCAAATCTTCAATCACAAAAGACAGAAGAAGAAAAAAATTTGAAAGAAATGGTACAAACCCACTACCACTCTTAAAAACGCAAGCCCTACCATACCCGCCCCAGCAAAGATGGTGTTGGAGCACAGCAGGGGACGGCTGGCCTTGGGGGCCCTTTCCTTCCACTTTGAGCTTTAAGGGTAATTACAGAGTCTTTGCTTCCACTAGAGGTTCCTGAGGTTTGGATTTAGCGAAGGCTGGGCTTAGGGGCCAGGCTGTGGGCTACGGAGGATGTCAAGATCAGAGGCAGAGTTACTATTAGCGTCAGAATTTGAATGAACGCGGAAACGGAAACCTCACTTGGGCTACAGTTGGGGTTAGGCTTGGTCTAGATTAAGAGCTACAGCTGGGATTTGGGCTTGAGTTACGTTTATTGATAAAGTGACAATTTTGTCTTGATGTTTGGGTGAGGAATGTGGGGATAGGTTTAAGGCCACTTCACAGCTGAGGAATGTGTCAGGATCAGGAGAAGAGAAATTATCCCAGTTTCGCCTAAGATTTGATGTGGGATTTGGTTCTGGTTGTGATTCCACACAGGTACAGTATCTCAGCTTAAGCCTGGAGTGGGTGGGAGGTGAATATTAGGGATATGGGTTTAGTGACTGGTTTGGGCTCTGGGGTTAGGGTTTATCCTGTGCTAAGGAGTGTGGGATGGCAGGGAGGTTGAGAAACTGGACCTGGTACCCAAACTGCATGCAGCTGGAATTCTGGTTCTTTTGCTTTCTAGCTACAAGCTCTTGGGCAAGTTATTTGACCGTCTGTGCCTCAGTTTCCTTATCTGTGAAAGGGTCATAGCAACGGAGACCATCTCATAGGATATTTATAAGAATGAAATGGGTGATATTTGTAAAGCGCTAGCACAGTGCATGACACGTAATAGCAACATGTATGAGTTAGATAAATACACAGTGATAATATTCCAGGCCCACCTTCAACGTGGTAAGTGTGCAGACAGGCTGGAGCAGTCTTCCCTGTTGACCTACGTAACCTAGCTGACTCCCTCCCTGTGTTTTGGCAGGGCCATCATCCCTTGGACTGGGGTGTCGGTGCATTTATGTTGCTGACAGTTTCCTAACTGATGTCACTGCTGTGAGCCTACACTCTTTACATCAAAGAGGTGTCAGGTCAAGGTTAACCAGATCCTGAGGCAGCCTCAAGTTGCATACAGGTCCTCCCTTGTGGCCAGGAAGGCAGGCCTTTGATCCAATGGGTTGTCCTTAAAAACAACCAGGCCCAAGGCCACTACTCCCTTCAGGCTCAGGAGAACTCCACTTGAATCTTAAATGATGCTCCCTTGGAACCTCAAAGCAGAGATCTTAAGGAGAAATGTTTAGGCCAGGAGGAAGGCTTGGTCAGCTGCCTGCTTGGTCAGCCTGGCAGTACACCCAGAATCCAAAGGGAGAAAATCTGGACAAATCAGGACAACATTTACAATGGGCCGATCAGCAGAGCGCAAGGAAAGAATTCACTTCTTTCCAGCAGCAGACACCAGCGGAGAAGGCCCTGAGTGAACGGCCGGCTCTGTGGGGGTCAGAACACCCCTCACAGGCCCGGCTGAGTGGACTTTTTCATCTCAGTTCAAGAATTCGGTCCCCAGTGAGAACCCCCTTCCAGGGGTTGCCTGTAAAGTTGGTCTTCTTCCAGATGACCTGGGGATTAGAGCGGGCAGGGGGAGGCAGGAGGAACTCTTCCTCGTACGTGCCTTGCTGTGCTGTCCTGGGGACACTCGGTGGACCAGTCACCCTGACTCCTCACTCCAGCCTCCCCACCCTGTACCTCCAGGCCACACGCGGCTCCATGTGTGCCGCACCCACTGGTCAGGTGCAGAGTCACCGCTTCGACAACCATCTGCTTCTAGCCCTTCTAGAAGCCTCATCTCCCTGAGCCTCTGCCTTTCTTCATTTTGGCCTTTTTGATCTCAGGTCTTCCCTCCATCCACCTCTCCTCGTCTCCCATGAAATATTAAATTTCTCTGCACTCTCCAAGACTTCAATTTGCCAGCATGGCCCTCTTTATATGAGAGTCTGGTCCCAAGCCTGGATGTCCCTAGTATACTAGCCCCTCTGACGACTGGCGCATCCTACACCCATGCCTGTCCGGGAGCCCCAGATGCTGTTTCCCTGGAGACCTCGTCAACCAAGAAGATTCATTTCTAAGGACCAGCTTCATGCCCCAGTTCACTCGAAACAACCAAGGTCCTGAGGCTGGCAGTGACTCCTCCATCTGATTCACATTCTTGAATCTAAGGTCTGAGATGGTGGAACCAGGAGAGACGAGGGCAGAGCCTCTTCCCTGCCACCTTAGGAAAGAAGGCCTCGCCCACTGGACCCTCACCTCCCATTGATCCCACAGCCAGATCAGATCACCATCCCAGATGCAGGGGCCCCACCTGCACTCAGAAGCCACGCTTGCCTCTGCCCTCAGGGGTGTCCACCCAGGGACCAAATGTCTCAAGGCACTCTCCTCTCCTGAGAGTGGGATGTGCCAACCCAGCGACCACACCTTCACACTAACCTAGAAGGTCTCATGCCCTCCCTTCTTGGCTGTCCGCCACCCAGGGCCCAGATGGAGCTGACTCCCAGATGCTCTGCTGTGTGAGTCCGAGTTGAGGGGGTCCGTCCCAGGGCAGGGAGCCTGGGAACAGCTTTCTCCTCCAAACGTTTTCCATTTGGGCATCCCATTAGGAGTCTCCGTAGACATAACCTGACTGGAAAGGACTCCAAGGGGAAGTTTCTCCCAGGAATATTTATAAGCATAATCATGATCAAAATCACAGTTCATTGGGACACCTGTGTAGCTCAGTCAGTTAAGCGACCGACTTCGGCTCAGGTCATGATCTCACGGTTGGTGAGTTTCAGCCCCAGCATCAGGCTCTGTGCTGACAGCTCAGCCTGCTTTGGATTCTGTGTCTCACTCCCTCTCTCTCTACCCCTCCCCTGCTCTCTCTTTCTCTCTCTCTCTCTCTCAAGTAAATGCATTTAAAAAATTTTTAAGCCCAGTTCACTGAGATCTCGCTCCATGTAAGGTGCTCATTACACATTATCTTAATTCTTACAACAACCCAACCCGGGTTGGGTGCGATGGGTATCAAGCTCTGATTCTTTCTCCTCTGGGCAGAGCAGGATTCTCTGCACACCTCTCAGCTCAGCCCCCTCCCTTGGCACTCGTTCCTACTCACCCATTAACCATCAGTTAACACATCAGCATCAGCGTTTTGCACACCCACAAAGCAGGAAGCTCCCGGTCCCACCCCCTGCACCGCTAGTAACCACAGGCAGGACCCTTCTCTGTGCTCTAGTCCCTCAGACCCTGGGTCAAAGACCCATTCCTTTGACCACTTGTACAGCCAGGAGAGCACATGGCCCACCTCCTGGTCAGGGGCTTTTCCAGTCCCCACCCCCTTCCCAGACAACCCCCAGGCAGTGACCAAAGGCAGCCAGGCCACTCAAACCCAGCAGGCCACAACCCCAGCCTTATACCACACAGTGGGCCAAACCTTGGTGAGATCACAGGTCAGGTTGGACTGAGGGATGTGTGGGGCTGGTCTTCCAAGGAGTCAAGAAGGAACTTCCATGACATTAGTCCATCAGCCCTGCAACCCCCTTGTACAGTCCCCTTCACTGCAGAGATCACTCCTATACTTCAACAGGGACAGGTCCAAGATGCTCTGTGGCTGTAGGGCAGAGCTGACCCTCCCTTCTCCCACTACCCTCCCTTCTACCAAGTTCCCTAATCCTCTGCTTCTCTAGGCAGGACCCTTTAACCCCCACCAGATAGCGACTTACCAGCCCAGGCCAGGCTGCAGAGCATGGCCACTATCAGGGGCACACAGGCCCTCATGGTGCCCAGTTGGAGGTCAAAAGGGGACTGGCTGTTGGACTTTCACTCAAGTCCAGGTGAATGTCACAGCTCTCAAATGAGCCTTATTTCCCAGGCTGATCCTTTTAAAGACATCAGAACTTGTGGATCTGGTACCTCCGGATCCTTCCAAGAGGGAAAAGGGGAGGGAGGGACCCTAGATGGATAGGAGGTGGAGAGGGGGTGGGGCCCTACAGCTGTTTGAAGCCAGAGGGAAGGTGACTTAACAGGCAGGTAATTCCAGATGTTTAGAACAGGTAATGCTAGCTGTTTGTAGCCAGAAAATAGGTCATGCAAGCAGGGGCAGCAAGATGGGCTTAGTTGGGGGAGGAGGGGTTCTCTGTCCAAATAGAGAGCACTGAAGGGCTTATCTTTGGGTGATGCCCTCCAAACACCCACCCAGCTGCAAGCCACAGGCCTGACTTTCCAAGAAGCTTCAGGCTTGCTTCATCTTTGAGTTCCTGGTGCCTAATATGAGGAACATAGAAAGGTGATCATTACATTGCATTGCATTGCATTAGTATGCAAATGGTCTCTAACTCTTGAGTCAGCATCTCAGGTTTTACATGTTCTAGGTTCTCACAGCTTCCAGATTTACGAGGCCAGCGATGGGCAAGAGGACTCAGAGAGACCCACAGGACCCACCCTTCCTCCCCTGGGGCCACAGGAGGCCACTCCCTGCATCCCTTACTTACACTCATCTTCCTGACAACCCTCCCCAGAGAGAGGAGGCTTCTCAGCATCCTTGCTCCCCAAGTCCAAGAGCCGAAGTGCAGCAACTTGGGGCTGCCACATTTTCCCACCTATTAAAGGTAGAATCTGCTAAAACACCCTTTCCAGAAAGAGGGCTGCATGGAGATTCTCAAGAAATGAAAACTCTTATATGAAAAGGCATAATTGATGAATGATTGAAACTACTCCATAATGACTTTTTTCCAGGGGTGAAGTAGGGGAGCGTGTCCCCCTCAGCCAGTGTGCTTGAAATGTGAGACATTTCTCCCCATCTCTGAAATGACAGGGTTGGACCTGATAATCCCTTCCAAGTTCATTTTGGGGCTTCCTGCCCAGGTCCAGGATGAGCTGCTGTGGGGGGTTGGGGAGAATCTTCCACTCTTGCCTTGTGGAGATGAAGTCAGGAGCAAGGCTGGGAGCCGGAGGCAGCTGGGACCGACCCCAGAGAGCCAGAGGTCCTTCAGCAAGAACTACAATGCCAACGTAAGGACAGCCATCAACACTGATGAAGTATGTGCCGCGTGTCACCCGCGACACCTCCTATGCACACTCTACTCTCCCTGCAACCCTTAACAGTACCGTTGCTCTCCTCATTCACCGATGAGGAAACTGAGAGACATAATGGTCGGGAGATACACCCAGGAGCACATTGGTAAGTTATGCCAGAGGGCTTCCCACCAGAGGCCATCCTAATGGGCACTGATGCCACGCTGTCTCACAAAATGCATCAACAATCACGGCTGGGTTACTACTCAAGGTGGTCTGCACTCAGACTCAGTGGGAATTAAAGGGAGCCCGGCAGGCACCTGGCCCCTGTTCTCGTCTGGTGTTGCAAGCCCTTACACAGCCCTGAAAGGCGGTGCTGCCTCCACTCGGATGCCTCTGTGCCTCTCAGCGCTGCTCCTTCCCACTTCCCGGATCTCATTCCCAGCCCAAGACATGCTGACATGGACACAGCAGAGAGGACAGGAGGAAATAGTCCACCAGCCAACGTGTGAACACACCTCTATACATTCACACGAAAATGCCTCCTAGCTGAACGTAGATGCACGTATGTGTACATAGAGACAAACGCATTAAATGGCATTTCAGATAGCGGCTGGCCTGGTCTAGACAGAAAACTGCTGTTCTTCTTTCCGAGTCCTCCCACCGGCTAGGTCTTCCCCTGGGCTTTCCACCCTTGACTGAAAACTCTTCCCGTGGGGCCAGCCAGCAAGGTAGGAGGCCCTGGAGACATAGGGCAGGGAGGGGATGGTGAGAGGTGCGTGGGAGATGGGGTGCCCATGATGAGCACTCCAACCGAGGTGCCTCTTCTCCATCAGGAAGTGAGGATTGGGTGCAGCTATGGGGGATTAGAGGGCAAAGCCACCTGGGCAAGGATGGGGGGTGCAGTCAGGCTGTCAGTGGTGTGAGGAATGAGAATCCCATCAGCAAATATTTACTGAGCGCCCACTACGTGCCTGGTGCTCTGCTGTTACTGGATTGGCAGGATTCAGGCCAGGGTGGAAAGCTGTTCTTAGAACCTTGGCTTCTAAGTGGGACAGAGGACAGAGAAGGCCCAGCATTAGGCTGCTGTTCGAAGTGGACCCCACACATCTCTGGGCTACCCAGGTGGTTAGGGGTCTGTCAGGGCCGACAGGCTATGGGAGAGACTGGGCCAGGCCAGACTACCCATCCTCCTTGTCCTCTGTGAAACCAAGGCTGAGTCGCTTCAGCACAAGATCAGACCTGGAAGGGTCCTGCGGCTGGCCCAGCACAGGTGAGGCCTAGAGTCGCTTCTCGAGGGGACCCCTGGCACCTAAGGACCTCTAGCCCTCATGCGACTGTGGCCCAGGGTAGAGACCTAAGACAGTCACCCACATCTGGTCACTTGTGAACCACCTGTTTGTAGTTACGTCTTACTGAATGTGTTTTAGAATGGCTCCACGCGTGGTTTTCTCTCACATTGGTTCGTGTGCTGTGGACCACAGTTGGGCTTCCAGGCATTTCTTTTTAAGTTCTTGGACAGCCCTGATATTCAGCATCACACTCACCACCTGCCCTGGATGCATTAGTCAGACACACCACCTGGGCCCTTCGTCCAAGTCCCAGGCTGTGCGTCTGGTTCTGCTGGCCAAACCCCACACCAGTCCTCTGCCTGCAACGCCCTCCCCCGGACCGTGTACCATCTGTCACCTACTCACCTCCAGTCCCGGGGCAAACCCACCCTTCCGCAAAGCCTGCCTTTAGCCCTCCTGCCAGAGAGGCTCAGCCCTGGATTATTTGTCCTGGGTGCCTCTGCCTCTGGCGTTGCCAGTGTGGTGTCGGTTAACCCCTGCACTGCCATTTGCCTTTTCACCCATACAGGCTGTTTCTTCAGCTCACCTCTGAAATTCTTTGTGACAGGGGATCTACCTTCTGGATACCCTCTACTGTTTTGTATTGTCATTGAATATGTCGTGAATAACCGTCAACGTGTGCAAAGAACCAAGAATAAATGAATGAATGAATGAATGAATGAGTGAGTGAACTGAGCCTCCCAGCCCCACTTGTTATAAAGGCTTGAGGGAAGATAATGAGCAAAACACAGAGACCAGACAGATCCCTTTCTGAGATTGGAGACTCCAGAGTTTGCACAGGGTCGGGGGCTTATGGGCAGTGGGTAGAAATGGGGTCTAGGCATTCATTGGGTAGTTACGTTTTTACGTTTTCATAGCAAACACACAATATTGCACGTCTCTCAGGAGCTAGTGGAAACTCAGCAGCATCCACCCCACCCCACCCCACCCCCAGCCACCCCTTGGCACCACCACTGCAAGGGGCAGCCAACGCAGGCATCAGACAGGACCTGGGATTCCAGCAGCTTCCGAATCCATAAGGTAACAGGCAACTCGACTTACATTGATTTTTAAGATGCCAGACTAACCACCTGCTTACATCTTATGCCAGCTGTGCTAATGTTTGTTTTACACTGCTCAATAGTGTTTATAAAATAAAATTTCTTTAAAAAAGTTTTAATCTGTATTTATTTTGAGAGAGAGTGAATGAACACAAGTGGGGGAGGGGCAGAGAGAGAGACACACACGGAATCTGCATCAGGCTCCAGGCTCCGAGCAGTCAGCACAGAGCCCAATGCACGTGGGGCTCAAACTCACAGACCATGGAATCGTGACCTGAGCCAATGCTTAACCGACTGAGCCACCCAGGTAGAAATAGAAATAAAAATTTCTATTTCGTGTCCTCAAACCCCAGTGGTTTTGGGGAAGGTCTGGAGGCCCAGATGGGAACAAAGAGAAGTAGATGAGACGGGCAGACAGAGATAAGGAGGTTCAGAGAGACAGCAAGGCAGTGAGCAAGGGCAAGGGGAAGACGGAGGATCTGGAAGCAGCCAAGCAGGAGCCAGGCACTGGCACGAGGCACCTCATTGGCCTCTTGCCCCGGGTGTGTTGACCCAGCTGGCCGTTCTGCCCTCACAAAGATGACAGTGGTTCCTACCCATGGTATGAAGATCTACAATCTGTCAAAATCATCATAATTAGTGTCCAAGGTAGCTAGATTATGGGCATTTCCCCTTTCTCAGCCTTTGTTCATTCACTTGACTTTGCTGAGCAAAGTGGATGTGAGGACAAGGAGCTCAGCTGCCAGAGGGGGAGGGGGACAATGGACGAAGCACACTGCAGGCCGTGACTGGGGGAGCAGAACTCAATGCCTGAGACCGCTGGTTCGAAAGCCAAGCTGCCTGGGTTCGAATCCCAGCCCTGCCTCTCACACCAGCTGTACCACCCTGGCTGGATTTCCTGACCTCTCCGTGCTTTGGTTTCCCCCAGAATCATAAAATAGAGCAAGTAAGAGTACCTGACAAGACTTCTGTGAAGATGGGGTGAGTTAATCCTCGCAAAGCCCTCAGAACAGTGCCTGACAGAGAACAAGGCCAGGTAAGTGAATGTTTAAACACAAACAGGGCTAGCCAAGGCAGTCTTGAGAAAGAAGACCAAAGCTGGAGGTACCACACTTCCAGATTCCAAGATATACTACAAAGCTGTAGTAATCAAAACAGTATGGTACTGGCCAAAAGAAAAAAAAATAGACACATAGATCAGTGGAACAGAACAGAGAGCCCAGAAATAAACCCACACATGTATGGCCAATTAATCTACAACAAAGGAGGCAAGAATATGCAATGGGGAAAAGGCCGTCTCTTCAATAAATGGTGTTGGGGAAAACTGGACAGCTACATGCAAAAGAATGAAACTCAACCACTTTCTTACACC